AATCTTTCCAAAAATAATTTCAAATCCTGTACTTAGACTTAATCGCCTATTGTATGACTTTACTGCTTCTTTTATGGCAACAACCATTCTACTTGCAAGGCTGGTTCTCCTTTCCTTATTTGGATACAGTTAGTATCCGTTTGAATAAGAATTCCCTGATTAAAGGGGAGTCTTATACTAATTGATTCTGATTTGTGACCATGCCATATTTGTGTTGGATTTGTACTTGTTACCTTATTTCTCTACACGTTTTCAAAGCTATAAATATCTCCTCCCTTTTTCTTTGAACACACGAACACAGAACGCAATCGGAGTCCACAAGTTACTCTCACTTAAAAACTCTTTCTCTTTTACTTGTGCTGCTGTGGACTTTGTTTACTCTACTTTCTCCTGCGCTCTTTTGCTTCTCTACTGGTATGTCTCAGTTAGTTTACATGTCTCCACCACAATGTGTTTACTTCTGCCCACTTCTGTCCAATTCTTTTAGTTGACATTTGTTTCTAGCATATTGTAACATGTTCCCACCCCCTTTCCTTTGTAATTAAGTATTTAAATTATGTATGCATCCTGTCAGTTGTTTGTCATGAATTTGATACTTTATGAATCCCAAACCCTCATACACCTTTATAGGTTAGTTATGGTTCGGGGCATGACAACACTCTAATATTGTTGTCCATGATTCTGGATTGGATTCTTTAAATCCCAAACTCAATCAGTTCCCATTCCCTTTCCCCCTTTATGTGTTGTTGAGCTTTAGACTTGGGTCTGGCAGTGTCCTAATCACTGTCCAGACTCTGGTCTGACCTTCAAGGGTCTGCTCTTAATGTGTTTGACCAGGCAGGTGGTCAGGGGCGTGCCAGCCTACTTTGTAGCTAGGTATGACCACCACTGTCATGCCCCCCCCCAATTCCCTTTCACTTTGCACTTACTCTTAGCTATAAGTTCTGCCCCTCTCTTGCAAGCCATGCTTTGGGACCCCCGAGCTCCCTCTGAACTTGGATGCATGAGAGCCGGCTCTTCCACACTGCACTATTCTAATTCTGGTAGTATCCTGGGTGTAAGCAATGCCTGGAATCCCTAAGATTCCTTGGAACTTTGAAGCACCTTGGATAAAGAGAAGGCTTTGGAAATCTGGATCCCGGAAGTGGCTAAATCGCATGTTATTAGACATTAAGGTTGAATTAGGCTACTCGGATCTAGCTGTGAGCTTTTGATGTATCCTTTAATTTCCAGTTTGATTCATTGGGTTGTAATAATTTTGTATGAAACTCGGGGAGTATAGTAAAAGGGTGTGGGATGGGTCTTTACTTTTCTTGTATCCAAGGGGTAGAAATCATGGATTAGGATTTTATTCAAACTAGAAATCCTGCCTATAGGGTCTTTAATACTGATTCAATCACATAGAGACCATGCCTATAGGATTTAACGCTTAACTATAGGATTTAGCATTCATGTTTTGTAATGACACATATAGAGATCATGTCTATAGGCTCTTGCATTTCTGCATATATAAATGTCATTAGGCAAACCGTTTATAGGCATAATAACAAAGTTGCATATAGACATCATGTGTATAAGACTCTTATTGATATCAGGAAAGGGTGTTAAAATCAGTAAACATATAGAAAGCATGCCTATAGGAAACCTCGTCTTTAATAGCATCATTCGTTCTTAAACTGTATTGATTGCTGGAACTAGTGTCTTTATTAAAACTGGTAATTTTCTACTTCTGATGCCCGCTAAAATTGGTAAACCTTTTTCCTATAGCCAATCTGCACTCCCCCGAAACTCGTAAACCTTTTAATCAGTCTTCCTCTTTTCTGAAACAACTGGTAACTCTTTTCTAAAAAATCGGTTTGCATCTTTTCTCTTTGTTTAAACTGATAATTCTTTTTCTAAAATCAACTTGCATCTTTTCTGAAACTACTGGTACCTCTTTGCATCTTTTTCCTGAAATTAATAGATCCTACGCCTAGGTTTTTTATTTCAACTCATAAACAAGGGTTGGCTAATCAATGAATTGGGTCAGTCCCTGACAACTGTATCTGAGTTGCCTAATGCAGACTCTCTGTTTAAATACATGTGTTGAACCAGTCCGCTCGCTGCTTAATTTAATCTAAGACCAAATCAGTATTTGTCAAGGCATGCTAAACTAAATGATTTTTTGACTTCTGGGGTTAATTTAAGCCTTGTATGCTTGCTTGTCCTCCCTTTTTACTTGATACTTGTTTTGAATGTCGAGCTAGAATTTTATCCTTTAAACTCTACAAAGGCCCCCATCCTTTTCTTCCCCTTTAGGATTAGAAGTCCTAATACCCCGGGACTAATAGGATTGGGACGGGTAGTAGCATGCGATAAGTAAACGATACCGTTCCGCGCTTTAATATCTTAACAGGGTGGGAAGGGTAGACATGGAGATGATGATTACACGTTAACACTCCGCGTACAATTGAGTACCAGTGTTGTGCGAATGATCCATGTAATGTGTAAACCTAGGACCCCTTTCTCCTTCTTTATTAGTTTAATAAAATTTTCTGAATCTTTAAAGCTATTGCATTTTCAATTCCTGCTTCTCGCATGATCTTTTCGGATTATTTGCACTAAGTACTTGACCTTTTTCTCCACTTGCACGTTTTTTTTACAAAATTGCTCCTTTAAAATTCAGCACTTCTTTTAACCGTCTGTGCTTCTTGTACTTGTTTATTTTTTACATCTAAAGTCACAATTGTAGTATGACCGGGAACCACACTAGTGGATCTTGAGGGGTGCCTAACACCTTTCCCTTGAGATAATTTCAAGCCCTTACCCAAAACTCTGGTCTGCATCTTTAATTCTTCTAAAAGTGTCCTAATGCACTATAATCATTAGGTAGAGACTCTCCAAACTCTCAAAAAACTCAATTCCCAAAGTGGAAAAAGAGTTGTCTTCCCAAATGTCGTGAACCCAATTCCGCGAGGAAAAAGGGGGCGTCGACAAGCAGCAAAAGAACTTCCAATTATGAATGAACTCAAGACAAATGAAGACATAGATCTAGGGCATAAAAGATTTGGACATGTGTCAGCCTCAGTACTCAAGAAATTACTATCTGTAAAGACTGAAATAATAGCTGAAAGAGTAGATAAATGTACTATGTGTCCATGTGCCAACAAAACAAGACTTCCTTTTCCAATCAGTAATACAAAAACTTCTATTTGTTTTGAATTAGTACATGTTGATTTATGGGGGCCTTACAAAATTACCTACAATTGTCTTAACAATGGTTGATGACTACACTAGATTTACTTGGATATATCTGTTGAAATTGAAGTCTGATTTGAACACTATGCTACAAAAGTTCATTGCATTTGTCAGAACCCAGTTTGATAGGTTAATCAAAGTAATCAGAATAGATAATGGTACTGAATTTGTAAATTTATTATGTGAAACCATTTTCAATAATCTAGGAATTATTCATCAAAAAACCTGTACTTATACACCTCGGCAAAATGGAGTTGCTGAGAGGAAACACAAGCATATCCTAAAAGTCACAAGGGCAGTCAGATTTCAAACAAGCATACTAATCAGATTCTGGGGCATTGTGTGTTAGCTGTAGCTTACTTGATCAATAGACTACCAAGCATAGTTATAAACAATCAAACACCTTATGAGAGGCTGTTTGACAAAAAGCCTACTCTAACTCATCTGAGTGTAGTGGGATGTCTAGCTTATGTAAAAATAGTACAGGAACATGACAAAATGATGCCTAGATAAAAAATTACAGTACATATCAGATATGCAGCTGAACAGAAGGGATGCATACTATATGATCTAGAAAATAGATCATTTCTTGTAAGTAGATACGTTAGTTTCAGGGAAGATATAATCCCATTCAAATAAATCAAAGAACATCTACCACTATATTCACTCAAGACAACAACTTCCACAAATTGTTCTATGAAACAAGTGGTCAACCATCTACAACTCTAAATCAGAGAATCACTGAAACAACTGAGAATCATGATGTTGCTACTCCTAAATTCGTTGACCAACCAGCTGCATTTAATTCAGAAATAGAACTCATGGATCAACAAGACGAGTTAAGCTAATTGAAGAAAACCACTGAGCTTCAACCACCAACTATGTCATCTTCTAGTCAACCACCTCCTACCACTATAGTCTCAACAGATCAGGATGAACTCAAAAGTCACAAAGGAAAACAAGGCTACCTCTTTTTGGCTCAGAGACTTTGTCTCTCTAAATATTCATCAATACACACCCTATGCATTGTCTAAATATATAATATATGACAATATATCACCTAAATATTAAGCTTACACTAAAATTATCATCTTCAACCATAGAGCTTACAAGCTACTCCGAGGCTATCAAGGATCATAGATGAGTAGAAGCAATAAAAGCTGAAATTAAAGCATTACAAGACAACCATACATGGGACATAGTCAACCTACTAGAAGGCAAACATCCAATAGGATGCAAATGGATCTATAAGATTAAGTACAAAGCTTCAAGGGAAATTGAAAGATTCAAAGCCAGGTTGGTAGCAAAGGAATTTAGCCAACATGAGGGCATTGATTATCAAGAATCTTTTAGCCCAATAGTTAAAATGAAGACAGTCAGAACAATACTTGCTATTGCTGCCAAAAGTAGTGGCCTATACATCAAATGGATGTATACAATGCCTTTCTAAAAGTGGATCTCTATGATGAAATTTACCTGCAAATGCCACAAGGATTTACTAGTCAGCAGGAGAAAAATCCAGTATGTTGACTTGTTAAATCCAGATATGGATTGAAACAGGCTCCAAGACAATGGAATACCAAGTTAACAGAAGCCTTATTGCGGTATGCATTTCAGCAAAGTCAGTTTGATCATTCTTTTTTCTTCAAGAAGACTTCAGAAGGCATCAATAACGTGTTAGTGTATGTTGATGATATGCTTATCACGAAAGACAGTCTCAATTGATGCAAAATACCAAAACTGCTCTATAGAAGGCTTTCAAAATGAAATACCTAGGTGAGCTAAAGTATTTCTTAGGCATTGAATTTGCCAGGTCCAAACAAGAAATCCTAATGCACCAAAGGAAGTATGCACTAAAGCTTATTTCTGAAACTGGACTAGGAGCTGCTAAACCTGCTATCACACCTCTAGATTACAATATAAAGCGCACAACAAAGGAATATGATGACTGTATCAAGATTTCTGAATCAGACACATTCGCTGATGATAAAGAACCGGAGGATCACACTCCTTATCAAAGATTGATAGGTAAGTTGTTGTACATTACTATGACTCGACTTGATATATCTCTTAGTGTTTAGACTCTCAGTAAGTTCCTTAAAAATCCTAAAAAGTTTCACATGGAAGCTGCACTTAGAATTGTAAGATATCTGAAAAACAACCTGACCAAGGTATTCTACTATCTAGTAACATCAGCAATACAGTCATGGGAGTTTTTTTATGCTGATTGGGCTTCCTACCCACATATAAGAAAATCTATTACAAGTTATATGATTAAACTTGGAGATTCTTTAGTTTTCTGAAAATCTAAGAAGCAAACAACTATATCAAGAAGCTCAACAGAAGCTAAATATAGAAGCATTGCTACCACAGTTGCAGAACTAATCTGGATGATTGGCTTACTAAAAGAAGTTGATTTTCAGATCAAACTACCTGTGGATATTTACAGTGATAGTAAAGCTGCTATGCAGATTGCAGCCAATCCAACATATAATGAGAAAACCAAACACATCAAAATTGATTGTCACTTCATTCGAGAAAAAAATACTACAAGGACTAATCACAACTAAGTACATTCCAACCAAAGAACAACCAGCAGACCTCTTAACTAAGGGGCTCAACAAAGTCGAACATGAATACCTTAGCTCCAAGCTAGGAGTTTACAATGTTTTTGCACTACCTAGCTTGAGGGGGAGAGTAGAAAAAGGTATTACATAACAAGGAAGAAGGGTTTACTTTAGTCATTGCTTATTGTATCTGTTAATAATTAAGTTAGTTATAAGTTAGTTAGGATGTTAAGTATTAGTTAATTCCTATCTCAGTAACTATAGACTTTATATGTAGGACTTGTACTTTTATTTCTTCTTTAAGATGAATGACATAAGATCATCTCCTTCCTCCTCTATGTCTTCTTCTTTCTTCTATCACTAAAAAGTCTATGCATTTCTCTGTAATTGCATTAATAATTTTCAAAAACTTGATAAGGTTAAAGCATATGAAAGGGTGGATTGAGATTTCATTCTTGCTACGTTGAGGAGGTTTGGCGTTGCTGAATCATGGGAAGACCTTGTGTGGAGGTTCATATCTAATAATTGGTAATCTCGCGAAAGTAGTATTTTAATGCTAGCAATGTATGTCAATTCGTGTGGCATAATAGTGAAACAGCCAGTCGATAGGGTGACGATGGAATGCCATGCCATACGTATGGTGCACTATCACATATGTCATTGACTTTATCAATTCCCCAATTAAAGGAAATGATACGTTATGCCATGAAAGATTTTGTGGCACACGTTTAAGCTTTCTAAATACATGATTGGTTTCACAAACGTTTATGATGATTAAATGTTTCTTAATGATTTCAAATGCATCTCTATCGCATATTGTTTCCTTTAAGTACTTCTTGTCCCATTCTTGTAAAGGTAGAGCGAATGTTTCCGATAGACCTCGGCTCAATGAAAAAAGGAAAATAAGCAGAAATAATAATTGATTGGTAACAGCAACGAGATAAGGTGATACGGAGATAGAATAATCGAAACAAATGAACCAACAAATAGCAAAAGAAATCGGATAAGAAGCTACGAACATACAAGACTAGTACTAATGCAAACGGCATGAAAAGGAGACACACACGCATGTATGCTATAACCTTCTACCGTAATCACAACCTGCACACCCTCCTATCAAGGCACTACTAGAATTCCTGTAAAAAGCGACCAAAGATTAGCGACCAAATTTGGTCTGTCAAGAAAAGCGACCAAAGTTGGTCGCCAAACTGCCGAAAATAATAAAAAAAATATTTGAAATACTTTAGCGACCAAAGTTGGTGGCTATTTGGCCGCAAATTTAGTCAAACTGTTGACTGGACTGGTCAGACTTGCTTGGTCAAAGATATACTGAGATTAGCGACCAATGTTGGTCGCTAAAGTGGGACCCACATAAATTTTTTTAATAATTTTATTATTATTTTATAAAACTTATAAAATATAAATATATATAATTTAAAACTTGCGACCAAAGTTGGTCGCTAACTGAAGGATAAGTTGATAGCGACCAACATTGGTCGCTAACATGAGACCCAGTTATAATATTTTAATAAATATATATTTATTTAAAATAAATTGTAAAATATAAATAAATATAATTCAAAATTTAGCGACAAAAGTTGGTCGCTTAATGAAATATAGACCAACGTTGGTCGCCAAGGTGGGACCCAGTTCTAACATTTAATAATTTTTATTATTAATTTAAATATTATATAAAATATAAATAAATCTGATTAAAATTTAGTGACCAAATTTGGTCGCTAAATTAAATTCATGTACAGTTAGTGACCAACTTTGGTCGCTAAATTAAATTCATTTACAGTTATCGACCAAAGCTGGTCTCTATATGGTCAAAATTAAAAATAACTTTTGTTTTTACTATGTAAATAATATAAATGTAAGTCGTTAATACTTTTGTAATACAAGGGATGAATAGTACTACGAAGCGGGCGTGTGTGTCTATATATATAATATATATATATACTTACGCTATATTATGCACTAAGTATAAGTGTATTAGGTAATACCGTATCGAATATAGCTCATATATATATATAATATATGTACTTACGCTATACTATGCACTAAGTAAAAGTGTATTAGGTAATACTATATCGAATATAGCTTATATATATAATATATGTACTTACGCTATATTATGCACTAAGTATAAGTGTATTAGGTAATACCGTATCGAATACAGCTTATATATATATATAATATATGTACTTACGCTATACTATGCACTAAGTATTGTCACACCTCCCTTTTCGCTACACCGGTGAGGGTTTAAAGGAGTTTTTCCAATTAAAGGACAGTCGGAACGGAATTTATTATTAATATTCAGAGTCGCCACTTGGGAGATTAATGGTGTCCCAAGTCACCGGTTGAATCCCGATCCGAGGAAATTATGACTCTGTTAACAGTCCGCGAACCAGAACTCCGAGTAAGGAATTCTGTTAACCCGGGAGAAGGTATT